TTAAAGAAATAGAGCAAAATCAGGCAGTACTTGTTTACTGAACTGTTGTATTGAATCAATATCACATTTGCAAACTCCCTTAATAATTATTAAAAGCTGTCACTCTCCTTATCGCGATCTGTGGGCGCACAGAAAATGAGAGCGCGCGAGCGAGTTCTCAAGACTCAAAAGCACGTGAAAATGATACGTTCCGTCATATGTCATCGCGTTATAAGCGCGGAACCTGCAGGAATGAGTACAATTGTAATTAATAGCCGCAATCCCGCGCCGAAATTCAAGTCCTGCTCTGTGTTCTCTGCTAATAACCCGACTGTGAATGATGCGAGCGGCGTCACTATGTTGGCAATGAGAAGCTGCAGCCGTGGCCTGGAATTATTTTTGGTGTGACGGCAGAACAACAACAACAACAATGCGCTACATGTTTCTTTTCCCCTAATTTTTTTTCCAATTGACAGAAATCCGTCGTAGCGATGGAAAACTTTAATCCCTGCATAAACAAAATTTATTTCAAATTTAATTCAAGCACTTTCAAGGACCTATGTTTGTTTTCAAGTACTTTCCAGGCCTTGAATCCACGCGTGGGAACCCTGATTATTATATGTAATATATGTATTATTTAGCAGGAATTCTTCTGAGCACTAATGAAATATTTAATTACTCTGGAATAAATTCTTACTAATATTATTATTAGTATTATTATTAATGGTAAACATTGATAATTGGGCACACAATTGTTAAAATCTTGTGAAGACACCCTTTTAGTAATATTTAATATTTGTTTAATAATGAAAAACGTTAATTTGCAGCAGTATGTACCACTTAACACACATTGCAAAGCCATTTCCATTGCCATGTGAATTTGCATGTTTATCCTGAGCTGGTCATTGGACCCTGTGTAATTCTGGAGCATCCAACCAGACCCCAGTGACCATACTCAGGCCACTATGTCATCCCATCAAGTGTTTCTCAGCTGAGGCCCAGTGGACGTCCAGGATCCAGCAAATATAACCCAGTTGTGCAGCACATCTGATCCAAGTAAAGTCACGTAGCAGTAGTTTCTTAAGTTTAAAGATTGGATTTAAAGCGGCTTCACAGGGCCTGAACAGAGAAAAACTGATCTTGATTACATTTACAGTAAGTGTGTCTTTGTGTAAAATAACTGCATGTCTAATTTAAAGGGGTCATATGATGTTGCTAAAAAGAACATTATTTTGTGTATTTGGTGTAATGAAATGTGTTTATG